TGCTGCTGCTGTTGCTGCTGGTGGTCGCGGCAGCGGCGGTGGCCGTGGTTGCGGGGCACATGGGCACCAATTCAGTAAATCCGTTGGTCTCTTGCAGCAAGGCATCTGTCGCAAAACACGGACGTTTTCCACTCTTTGCTCTCTGAGCTCCTTCCAGCAAGCATGAAGCATCGAAGGCCGCAATATAAAACACTGAACACTTTGGTTAGGCATCGACTGGACCGTCGAAGATATACAATTGATACCTAATCTACTTTTAAGGTTGAAATCAAGATTGGTTTTTTACTGTGGGTGTAAGGCGTAGTTTGACGGCTTTGGCTTTCTTGGCCTACTGCTGACGGAGGATGCCGTGAATCCTATTTCAAGGCCCCAACATGCAATTGCGAGGTTTCCACTCAGAATCAGAGACCCCGGATTAATGAAATCCCTTTTCCACAATAGGGATTATGACTAGGATCCGAATGTTTGTCCATCAGTAGGTTGTGGGGTGGGGGGTCCAAAGCGCTGAACTCGAGGCAAGTGGAGGGCTGGGTGTCAGTAACAGGCTTTCGCTAGCACACCTGAACTTTCCTCTACAAAGGTGAAAGGCCGCTTTGCACAAGAGAAAGTAAGGGGTTTAGGGTTTAGGGAGCTGGGATACAAACCGTGCGCCTCCCGGAACTTGTCGAGCACCTCCCTTGGCTGCAGCTTGAAATTTGAGGGATTAGGGTTTAGGGATGAGGTTTTAGGATCAGGGTCTAAACTCCTTAAGGGGGGTTATATGGGGGATTAAATCGGGGACTACTATGAGCATAAGAAGGTTTTCCCAAATCGAGGGCCCTAAGGTAATGTTGGGCCTATATACCATATAGGGAGTATGGGAGGCTCCATAAGGGGTGTTGACCACGGTAGGGTTTCCCAAAAGCACTCGCTAGTGGTCGGCAGGGGATAAGAGAACGGACTCCTGTAGCAACCCTACATCATCGCTTCTGATATCTGCCTGTAACCATATTCCTGAAGTCCCCACCGTCTACCAGTAAAAAAAAGACAGTGTCGAAAAACCCGTAGTTCTGGGCTACCTGGAACAATGCAAGTCTGCTTGAAGTAGCAGCCGCAGCAGCAACCACACCATGGTTCATGACTATAATTGGAGCCGTTTCTTGGCACCTTTCGAGATGAATAACTGATGGATATGAATGAATTTCCCAGTGGGAACCCAGGATGTTCAGAATCCTCAAGGTGCTTCCCAGCTTCAATGACTCATCCATGCGGTTCTTCCTGTTTGGAGTGCGGTCCTTGGGGCTTCATGCTCCGAGGGCGCAAGGTTTCAGGGTTTGGGGTGATTATGCAGAGGAGAAACCAACGGAAAAGGTCTACTACTGCACACTTTGGTCTCCCGGATGTAGTATCCCATCGACTGGAATCACAGGCAGAACTCACACAAGCCTGCAATGCCAGATCATTAATCACAGTTCACGCTTTAGGTGCTCAGGCTACGGCAACAGGATTTTCCTTACAGCAGAATAAGGATGCCGACCGTCATCTGAAACGCTATGGTCTCTTCTTCCGTTCCAGAAAATCCTGCTTGGAAAAGGCTCAAATGCCAAGGACACCCTACACGCTTGGAACCTGAATCCTCCAAACTTAAGCTAAGGCCTCGAAACCCGGAACTACACATCAACGCTAATCGGCGACTCTGCGATCCCAGGGCCCAAGCTGAATGACGCCTCTGCAAACGTTCCCTAAGTCCTGATCCTTTAACACGACATCCTAACATCCAGACCCTAAGTCATTAAACCACACCCTCAAAACCCCGCACACCAAAGCTGCACAAGCAGCTGTGTCACAAAGCATCTCATCGGCTTCACAGAAGTTCCTAGGATGAGCTTGGGGTTGGGGAGACATTCCGGGCTTCAGACTTTTCATGTCTGCGTGAAGGAGCTAGGGGTGCAGGATTTGAGGTGTCAAGCTTTAAAACCTTTGACTTAGGGGTTGGGGGGCTTAGGGTGTAGGAGGACCAAATATAGGGGTTGGAGATGTCAGGTTTTGAGAGTGAAGCCCTGCCAGAGGTCTGTACTAGCGATAACTCACCTCAGTCTGAACTACGCAGGCCGTACACCCTAAACCCTGAGCCGGAAAACACAAACTTTTTTGCTAAATGTTCACTGCAATGGCCTCATGCAGATCCAAGTAGCCGCATATGGCTACGCAGCGGCAAAGAGATGATGAGATGATGTACTCTCCAGAACAGTGTTGCAATAGCAGTAGCAGTATAGCCAGTACAATCCAACAAGCAGACACTACCCGAAGCATCAATCCTGAACCCTAGCACACTCCGAAACCGAAGCGCCATTCTGCGGGGCGGTCTTGCACCATTATGAGCTTTTGCCCCAAGTCGACTTCAGACTGGAAGCATGCCAAGCATCAGGACCCCAAGCCGTGAAACCTGAACTCTAACCTACCCCTAGTACAGTCCAGCAGCTCGTAGAACTGGTAGCCGACACGCGTCTGCATGCCCTGGGACGTGGAAGGTCAGAGTTTAGCAACCAGACCTCTGTAACCTTCGGCTCGAGGCCTCGAAAACCAACTTTGACGCTGCAAACACAGATCCTGAAACCAAAAGTTGAAGCCAGTAAGCCAAGTCTTCACACAAAGGTCTTGGATGATTTGAGATCAGTGCTTGCAAGTAAACTTGCAAGTTTGACCTGCAGGCCTATGGATCACGGGCCCGCATAGACTAGGCAGCCATCGGCAGGATTCTCAGGGCTGTGAGCATGGGCCGGTGATCTCTTTCAATGATCGGACTTCTCATGACAACATTGCTTTAGTGGAAAGCGCATCAAACGGTGGACTCAATTTCGGGTTGTACTTGCAACGACGCTCCTGCTGTCCCTTTGAACCAGAGCAAGTGTCGCTCAACGTAGATCTCTCAACTTAATGGTTCCAGATCTGTAGGTTCAGCTGAGCTGCTGTGGCTAGCTCATTGCCAAAAATGTTGGAGTCGTAGCGGTCAGCATACCAGGCCCCGTCCTGATTGCCAAAAGCAATCCAAACTGAACCCTTGCCTTCCAAAAGCAAAAACAATCTCAACAGTGCACACACTAATGTAGATTTTTTCAGAACATCAAGTGTGCGCGATACAGAAACTCAGAAGTGTGGACATGCAGTGCATTGTTGAGGTCCGGATGCTTCCATAGCGTGTGATGTCAGGAGCCAAGGTGTATAACGAAAAAAGCGAAGGAGGAGCCGCAGGAGCAGTTGTAGCAATGAGCTGTGGCAGAAATATCACTGATGCAGCTTATACCACACACCCTACTGCCCCCGTGGCAACAGTTGCAAGCTAGCATGTGTGGAAAAGCATGAAACCTTGCTACATGATTGCCATCACCACTGGTAATGGCGTCGTGCGTCCTTCTTCAAAATCCAGTGCTGACAAACCAGTGGTGCTGCTGCTGCCGCCGCCTGCTGCCTGCTGCCGCTGCTGCCTGCTGCCGCTGCTGCATGCTGACTGCTGCCTGCTGCTGCTGCCTCCTGCTGCTGCCGCCTCCTGCAGCTGCCGCCTCCTGCAGCTGCTGCCTCCTGCTCCTGCTGCTGCTGCTGCTGCTGCTGCTGCTGCTGCTGTGAACATTGCCTCAAGAACCCTTGCAAAACCATACCTGTTCTCTTGCAAGCTTGAAGCAGTCCTGTTCTGGACCCGACATCTTATCGGCGCTGTACATGATAGGAACCTCCGCTTTGTCCGTGTAGTCCAACACTGGATCACCTTGAGGCCGACGTCCAGGCTTGGGGTTTGGTGTTCAAGTCAGGGGCTGGTTTGCCAGCATGCTACTAATCCCACAATCCTTGCAAACGGAAACCGTAGAGCTACAGCGGGTACGGTTTAGCCACTCCGTACGGTCCATCCTGGTGGTACTTGGCCAGAGGATGATCAGGGAGAGCGAAGTTTGATGATGGTTCATGATGGGAGTTTGAAGGCTTCTCGGCTTTGTTCTGAAAGTGCTGCACTATTCCATGTCATGCTCTGGGCCGTAAAAGATCCTTAGCGCCCTGCTCTGGTAGATGGTGGTAGCCAAGACAAAGCTCTTCCTCGGTGAAGGCTCAAGCTTCAGATGCAGGTAGTGCTGTGAGATTTCGAATGCACCATGACTTTTCCTACGCCAAAAGACACTCTGTAAACTTTCATCGAGGAGGGAATAGAAGCACCTCTTTTGATCAGATATCACGGCAAAATGCGGACTTTCGTGAGCTGCTCCTAACCTATATTGAAGACATCTCATACAACTTTGCGCCTTGATGGGGTTTTGGGACTTTATGTACAATGTACAGGCTACATCAGGCTTTTGATACTAGCATAAACTGGTTTCAGTGTGATTCCAGAACATCGCCTTTGCATCCGTGGTCTGTACGAAGGATGCCTGTATCCAAAAAAACATGTGGGCTGTAGTCTGAACTCGTGGCATCCCCCTTAAAAACCCCTATAATAATCCTCTATATAACTCCACTTGAGGAGGTTAGACTACAGCTCATGTTGCATAAACCCTAAACCCTAAACCCTAAACCGTACCCAGTCTTTGAAGCTGCGCTTCAAGCGGGAGAAGATCGCCTCCTCCTGTGGCACCAGATCCTCCAGGAAACCCAGGCGAAGAAGGTTTCAACTACTTCGAGGTCCTTGTTGTACATAAGAGCCATTGTCTGAACTCCTAGTATCCCCCTTAATAACCCCTATAGTAGTCCCCTATATAATCCCCGATATAACCCCCTTTAAGGAGTTTACACTATAGCTCATATAAAGGGTTTAAGGTTTAGGGTTTAGGGGTTTCAGTTACTTGGCGGTCCGTTGTACTTATAACCTACTTGGTAACTGTAGTTATTGCCCAACTATGTCTAGATATGTCTAGGGTAACTAGCTGTAGTACTGGGGCTTATAAGTAGGCTCTAGAAGTACAACAAACCTCCAAGTAGTCCGGGGACACTCCAGTTTCCATTTCATCGTCCATTTTCTTTTCCATTTGATTCTCCATTATAAGGGGATAATATACCCTAAACCCAATATAGTACTGAGGTGCCGGTGGTGTAGGGTTCTGAAGCTCAGCGCACGTTTTGGCTCTAAGGTGACACTCAAACCTAAACCCTTAACACCCTAGATAACCCTAAACTACCCATGATAGTAGTTTCCATTTTCTTTTGCACTATCCCGATCCATGTAGCATCCACAACTGAGCAGCTCATGAATATTGTTGACCAAAGGTTCAGGGTCTTGAGTTTGCTGTACTAGATTCCGAGGCTTTGCACAATTAGAGCTTCAGGGACATGAGGCATGAGCTTGCTGCGCTGGATTTCGGGGCTTTGCAGAACTGTGCCGCTGTAAGATTGGAGGAGAAATCCCTAAACCCTAAACCCTAAACCCATAAATCACAGCAAATAAATGGTTCCGGGCGGTAAGTCAGTGACGAGGGTGCATGTCGTCCTCAAACAACCTGGCCTTGCTCAGCCGCTGGGCAAGGCCTGCTTCCAACACCTCCCTGACGTTGGTGGAAGTTAATTTAAGTTACCATAATGGGTATATGTTGTAATTAATACAGTTTCCCCAATAGTAACTTGACCAGAGTTCCTTAACAGCAACCCAGTTCTACATTGCTTCCGGACATGGGGTCAAGGGCTGTGGATGCATAGCTTGAATGCAGTCCTTCACGTACTTGTGCGCATGAGCGTGTGGCCCCGAGTAGATCAGGAACTCGTAGTCTTCCTTAACCACCTTCAGCAAGGACACGCACGAGGACCACCGTCAAGATAGGATCGTGTGGCACAGTATGAAACAGAGATGCACTGCAAAGCATGCTGCGTACCACAGCGAAGCTGGATGCCTGGTATTGCAACTGAATTGTGCATACATGTGTTGCACTCTGCGGCCCCCACTCAATCTCAGACCCAATCTGTAACTATTTAGCACACGCGTCAGCCTTAACACCATGCAGAGCCAACCTTCGTGGGGTCGGAGGACTGGGTATATGTGATGCGAACTGGGGCAGCTGGATCATGCAGCTGGCGGTCAATACCTGCTGGGCAGAATGCACGGGCATACATGCACATCATGCGTATTTGTAGCAGCATCCTCTGGCACAACTTGTGAGGGTCGGGTGGCTTCCCAAACACCTTCCAAAAAAATGTGCACACAGAGAGAGAGAGAGAGAGAGAGAGAGAGAGAGCAAAACCAAGACATAAATCAGCTAATCACAGAACCCTGTGGTAAGTCAATGTTCTACACATTCCAGGGCTACGGGAAAAAACAGACAGGGTCAGGTACTGACAATTAATATGTTCAGTGCCGACCCTTCCCACACCCGTCCTTGGATTTCCACTCCGGAGCGAACATCCAGGGCATCTTTCTTTGCCATTGTGGTCCAAATTTTCTGATACCTGGGCATGGAGATGCCTATGACACGGGTGGCATCACTTAGGATTTGGGTCCTCCAAACAATGATCATACCTAATAGAACTGAGATGAGCGCCCATGCAGAGCTTGTACCCTAAGCCCTCCTGAACCCTAAACCCGAGACACTAAATCCTAAAAAAGTACTCCATTGTTTGAAGAGATTCTCAGGAAGGGAGGACGGATGTCAATAATTGACACTCGACATTTGAGCTACAGTCTAAGACTCCTAGTATCCGCCTTGATAACCCTATCATACTGCCATATATAATGCCCTGAATAACGCCCTTTAAGGAGTTTAAACTATAGTACATTCAAGTTTTTATGCTACCTTGACATGCACATATCGCAAGTGGGAAACTCGGGGAGAAAGAGACTGTGGGTTGAAATGAAAGATGACCCGACACTTTATTGTTCTACCCCACATGTCCCTTAAGCAAACATCCATCCCAGGCTGTGTCGTAAATGTGGATGTGTGAGAGCGATGCGCGCATGATAAAGCTGAAAAGTCAAATGCTCAACTTGATTAGGAATGTCCATGGGTGCTACCTACTGAACGATGCTCAAAAGGCAGCTTTCCAGACTGCTGTGCTTTGAGAAACGTCATGACCTTCCTCTTGAAGAACAACGTTGCAAGAAGACATTTTGCCTTTGGCGTCGCATCATGTATTCCACCCCGAAATCATCTGAAAACACCTCCAACCCCAAAAGGACCACGGTTTGCAAACATTCCAAAATGCCTGCAACAACTGCATTCTCCCTAGAGAAGCTGCATGCTAAGAACCTGCGGCCAAAAACCGAAAAAAATCCGTCAACACTGAAACCCTTACTTCTGAATCCTTGCAGCCTCAAGCACCCCTCTGGTAGCATAGTTGTAGTTCGCTGCACGACGTTGGCAGAACCCCCAACCAACAGCCAGGTAAGGTCATGCCTCTCTGAAAGGGGCCGATAAAGTAGGGATGCGGATTTCGGGTTTTGGGGTTATGTTCTTTTTTTGCTTTGTTGTGGCTTCTTTCTCCACAGTCATGCTGCAGAAAGGCCTTTGGAACATGGCACTGGCATTCTCCCTTACAAACAGCCGGCAATCCAAGGGCATCCTGAATGGACTGGCTTGACATCACCAACCCGATTATGTAGGGGCTTTGTTTTTACCGGACCTTTTTTCCTTGGTTATGTAGGGTTTAGGGATCAGGGTTTGGGGTTTGGAACTTGAGGGTTGAAAGCCTAGGGTTTGGAGCTAAGGATTCGTGCGTTGCTGGCGCTCATGTGCTCATGCGCAGGGAAATCTCCGTACTCCTGACCCAAACTCTAGACCCTAAACCAACACAGTAATCTGGGTAAGCTACACGTGGTCAATGGATACCTCTGCCCGCCGCATGGTCGCACATGTACTGAGAATATCTTCGCGTGGTGACTTCGACCCAGTATGACATCTTACTCCGTCATTACCTATCTGCAGTCTGATGCAGTATACTGTAGTACGCAAAACTGAAGACAACATGTTTCAACCGCTCATTAGATAGGTAAAAACCTTGCAATACCGATGTATCCGAAAATCTCAACCAAGGGACTGCAAGATATTACCGGGTTCTAACTTAGGTTTTCTTTCCTAGGCTAGAAATGCCTGACAGCAAGGAATCCAGTGACTTAGAGAAGCTTCTCACACAATCCGCTTCTTGCCGGGTCTGGTTCTTCTTGTGAAAAATCGCTAGTAGTTATTGGTAATAATAATAGTAGTAGTAGTAGTACTGGTATAATGATAGTGGCTGGAATGTGACAGCAACGGGTTAAGCGTCATCGCTTGCGCCTGCTCAGTCCCTCCACAACCATCATAGAGGCTCATTTAGGGTTTAGGGTTTAGGGTTTAGGGAGTTCAGGTTCCCAGCACACCAAAGAAAGATGCACAGCAAGGAGTTCAGGTATACGGGGTGTCCCAAAACTTGGAGTGCCTCTTTTTGGGGGTCCCTATAATGAGGACTGTAGTATATTTGGGTCTATATTGGGGTCCCCCTATTTTGGGAAACTACCATACCCATCTTCCCCATTACCTGTGTCCCCTCTCCGGACAACTTTGAGGGGTCCATTCTTAAGGATCAAATATTCTAATTTTGAGAAATTCCCAAACGAAGCTAATGCATCCAAAATTCACCCATCGCCCTCGAAGTGCTTGCAAATACTTGCTGTCCTGCAGGGTGGATTTGTTCTTCAAAAGTTCTGCGGACATAAAGCTGATATGGGGATAACGGAACAGAAAATGGAAACTACAAGAATTCTCGGGATAATGTAGGGCTATAATAATATAAGGGTTATGGCAAGAACATGATAGGCATGTTGGCTGCGCCTGGAAACATCCTGACGACAACGTCCAGACGACGACAGTGTACCTACTCAACCTGCAAGCTATAAACCCTAACGACCCCGTGAACATGATGCTTCTCAGGACGGCGCGCATTCTACAATGGCCAAATTGCCAAAGTGGTGGGAGTGCATAACATGAGTCCTGTTTGTATGGCGGTTGGATAGTAAGCACTGGAAAGGCCATCTTTCTTTGACACATGACTTTGCAATTTGAGTTCCCACTAGAAGCCACGTTCAAGACCTTGCTCAAGTTGGAGAGCATGAGCACTGACAGATGACCGAGGGTTCTCTAGCTTGTGGTTGATGTTCTGCCTTGTGCTCACAGACTGCTTGGGCTTACATCATGTAATCCCATGGTCACCCTCCTCAAACCAGTTTGCCTTTTTAAGCCACCTTCCCTGAAAAGAAGCCCATCTGGCAACATCCAATGATTGCACCCATCCCGAGGCTCCGGGTTGCTAATACGCTCCAACTGCTGGCGGAAGCTCATCTGCACATACCTTCAACATGCTCTTTGCAGATCCCATTCGATAACTCTTGGGCTCTATGTCACAGATCTGCTGATGATGAGGGTTACACAGGAACGCGGATTCTGTCAGATAGCCTGTCACGAGCGTCATACACGGGCTGACATGTAGGGGAGCCGCAGACACATGGCAAAACAGCAGGGATCAAGAGAAGAGGAGGTTCCTCAAAATCAATGCCTGCTCCCAAAGAAAACTGGAGGCTTTCTTTTGGGGGGAATGGGGGGAACTCCTACACCTCTAAATCCGACACCAGCAATAGTGTTCCGTGGTTTTGCTAGACAAGAGCTGATTCGCATGGGGACAGGCTGCTGAATTACACCTACTCTTCCCCCAAATGGCTAGCATACCAAGATTGGATAATCGTAACTGACCAGGCTAAACTGAGCATTTGGGTTAAGCGTTCAGGGAATAGGAAGCAGCTAGCATTGCTCCTTCAAAGTTCTTCTACGATTACCACTTCCCACACTGGTCCATAGGATTCCAAGAAATTCAAACGGTCTAGAGCTTCGGGTTGGGGTCCAGCGCTTAGGGTTTAGGAGCTACAGTCACACCTTCTTGCACGTCTAGAGGAAATGGCGTTTTATTGGGAAAGATAAAGTATGAGCGACCTGATGAAGGGGATAGAGCAGGTCTTCACCACTCAAGCTGACAAGTCCAGAATGGCATATTCCCGCCAGGAGAGGTATGTCAAGTAGTGTGAGATTTCTTCATGTAGGCTTTCCAATATAGGGCGAAACCCTGGAAGAATCTAGGGATCATAAGGAAGATGCTAGAAATCACGGGCCAGGATTTTAAACGTACAAGTTGCAAAACTCCCCATCTACAAGGTGAGCCTCTGTGCCCTGCTTGCAACATTGAATCGTAGTTTGTGACTTTGCCCGTATGCATCGCATTTCTGAACAACTATCATACACCCTCCCATACTCACAAGTCAACGACCTCAACCCTGAACCCCTCTCTGTAAAGCATGACCCTTGACCTTAAATCTTGCAACTAAGCTTCCCGTTGAGCAGTTCTGGGCTGATCCACCACAACCTTCAGGCTTTGGAGGGTGGAGGGAGGTGGCCTTTTTCCCAAAACGGGCAGAGGGCAATAGTAACTGTTCCCTACAAAGCTGGACGACTTGAAAAACAGTTACACAATCCTGCGCTATGAGAAAGCTCGGGCATAGCACACACCGCAGCTTGAGTTGGTGCAGTGTTGGGACATCTTTCTTGTGCTTCTCATTGTAGCTCTGTACGTTGGCTGGAGACACATGTACTTCAACAAATTCGGATTCGTCAGCGAGGTTCCTGTGTGCTGGCCCAAGACAGCTTTGGTTCCATTTAGGATAAATAGCTCTCGCAGACCATGACTCACATCTACCTCTGTGAAGCACGCGGTGCACATGGATGGGTGACAGAATTCTCCTGCCTACACCTAGCAGATACAAAAAATGATGCAACAGTAACCTTCCTATAATAACTCCATGACAACTTTTGGCAAGAGGCATCTGCTACTAAGGGAAAGCAACGAATCGGTTGTCACCCTACCATATTCAAGCCAGTCAGCCTTCAGAAACAGTCTATAGCCCGAATTGCTCCTGCAGACTCTTAACGAGAAACACCAACGCGAACAGAGCTAAGACCCTCACCAATCACCTTGTGAGACTTACGTTGCCATCCTGTCCGCTGCAACTAAGACCCCACACTCGAAACCCAAAAAAACTGACTCATCCATTGACTCATCCAGACAAAAATACCATTAGCCATGATTGTATGCAGATCTGTCAAAAAGCATACACCCCCTCACGTGTGACTGCTACAGGATGTGGGAAGTGCTGCACAGCCTGTCCAACTCCTAAAAGCCGCAGCCAAGAATCTATCTGGAGGAAATCTTACACCGTCTTGGGCTCTGAACTGAACTATCGCCGACCCCGCTCGGGTGTTTGCAAGTCAAGCTCCCCTCCTTCGCTGCAAGACTGTCTCTCGCCTCCCCCACCCCACCCCTTGTCCCTCACCCCCCACCTCCCCTCCACAGCCTCGCCCATTCCATATGAAAAAAACGCGGAAAGGTGTTTTTTGCAAGGTCAAATTCATGCAGATTGGATGTTGCGTTGTTCGTGCGGCTGCCCCACCTTGCTGCCTCTGCCCCAGTCCAAGAAAAACCTCTCATCCGCTGCGCACCCCAGCACACTCATAAATCTCGCTGGGCAGCCCTTAAATAGTAGACTTCTGGTAATTAAGGTGGTGCACGAGTTCTTCCCTCAACAATATGTTCAGAAAGACTTCGAAGTCTGAGGAGCCCGTAGAAGGCCGGGATGGTTTTCACGTAACCATAGCCCTGAGCCGCGTGAGCAAACCTGGAATCTGCGGGCTTCAGGATGGCCGACAAAGATGTTACCGCAAGTAGATAGAATTTAGGGTTTTATGGGGGGGTATATAGGAATAATGGAAAAGAAAATGGAAACTACTATATTATAATCGGGTATAATTGGGGTTGGAGTACCCCTCAAGTAGAAAGAATATGGCACACATGAGGATCTTAGTGCATGGCTTCAGGGAGTTCCATATTCTATCTACTTAAAGGGGACTTCAACACTTTTAATTGCACTCAAAGGGGTTGAATGGGCAGATGAGCGTCGTTAGTCTTCCTCTTGACATGTCGTTGTCGCGCACAGTTGTCATGACAAACTACCATCAGCCATACTACTGCTGACTTTACTATCAACATCATAAAGATTGCTGGAGTGTTGGTACCAATCTGAGATCTGGCACGGTGCAGATCCTTGCGTTTAAGATGCACCTCACAGTACGGGTCAGTAACACAAACTAGAACTCTGCCACATGTCAGACCACTTCAAGACAGCTCGCACGGGCAGGAATAACCAAAAAATTACATCGCCAAACAGCATGAACCAGTCTGAGGTAGCCTTTTCCGAAGCTATGTAGGATGGTACAGGAATTACGTGGGGATCGAGCTAAAGTTCAGAATATTAGCCATTCGTTGAGTCCCTGGGGTGTTTATGCATGCATGCTGCACAAGTGTCTGCCTGAAGCCATTTTCATGCAGCCCCCAGCAAAAGCTTGTAGGCTTCAAGACTAGGCATGTAACTGCCGGGAATAACTCAACAGCCAAATATGAGTAAATCGTGCAGCACACTAAGCTGTCTAAACATCCCACAGATACCTCTGTCCGTTCTATCTGAACCTTATACCTAAAGTCTGCCTTTGAATCAGAGCCTACATACAAAGCACACCAGATACCACAGCCACCACAGCCACATCCCATAGCTGCTGGATCGAGGCCCAGGCATGAGAAAGCCGGACAGCGCATGCATATCGTTTGTCTCTAAGAACCTTGGTCTGATAAGCTTTCCATGACAAATTCTGCTGCCGGGTACCCCTAGGTAGGGGATATACAGGGGACATATAGCGGATAATGGAAAAGAGAATGCAAACTACTATTTTATATTGGGGGCTATATAGGGGATAATGGAAAAGAAAATGGAAACTCCTATATTATAATAGGGGGCTATATAGGGGATAATGGAAAACAAAATGGAAATTACGAAATTATGTTAGGGGTTATATAGGGGTAATATAGGGTTTATATCCCTGTGTAATTTGGCTTACCGGAACAAGACCTCAATCCCTGAATCTTGGAAACTGCTGGCATGGCATTGCTGCTTCTCCAATTCCAGCCAGCGCAGGAGCAATTGCTAGAGGTCTACATTGAGATAGATTCCACCCAGTAATAGTGACTGTTATGGATAATAAGGATTATATTAGGGTCCTCTTGTATTCCTATTATACAACTATTACAGGGTGGGGGGTCCTCCTAAGAGATAGACCATGATCCAGAAGTCGAAGAGAAACTTTGCACTCACAAGTGGCGTTGGGAAACTCTTGATTGGCGGAAACAACACATTCAAACTGCAAAGCCCCATAGCCCTCAGCACTGACCAAGCCCAGTAACTTCAAGCTCATGTCTTCCGAACTGTATCCTAAACCGGGTTTGGGGTTCAGGGATCAAACTCTAACCTTTGACAACAGACAACGCTGAAGATTCCAGAGTGAGCTAATTGTAAAGTTGCACCTTTGGAGTTTTGCTGTCTTCCAGCGTCCTACACGTTACAAAGAAGTCTTATTCCGACCAAACAAGATCAAGTCACGCTCATGAGCACAGCAAATGACGCACGTCGAACCCTAGACTCTTCTTCTTGAACCCGGACTTCTCAGTACTGTATCTGCTACAGCTGCGGAGAGCTGTCGGCTTCTGTTGGTTGACGGACGCGAGATCGTTCCACAGACAGTCCAAACCTTTTGAAAACACCGATCTGACCCGATGGCAGACACTAAAACATGGTCCCGCAGCTGAAAAGTCCAAAAATTGTACATAACGGTGGGGCGCAAGCAAAGGGTGGGCTGAGAAGAAGGCTGTGTGAAACCCAGCTCGTGCTTGGGGCTGGCTGGGCAACCCCTAAAGACTTTCATGCCAACCTGTTTGGCAAGTACAGCACAGGGTCTTGAAGCCTTCAATTGGTTTGCGGATTTCCCTCAGCATGAACATGCAAGCAAAGGCCTCTTCCAGTCTCCGCCGTCCCTTCATCCTGGATACCTTCCCGCAAGCTCCACGTAAAGCCAAATGAAATGAGGTGACAGCACCTGGTGCAACACGCTGTCAGTGCCCAGTGCCCATACCCCCCCAACCGTAAAACTCTAAACCATCATCTCTGGACGCCTACATCCGCATCGCTAATCTGGCAAGGCTGAGAAACTCTAGAAATGTCATGTTGATTTTGTTCAAACTCTCTGCCGACATCCGGGATGGCATGGAAAACTCAATCTCGCCCATGATCGCCTGCGTAAGGCTATTGTGTTGTGCACGCCAAGGATGTCAAACTTGAGTATCAGACACAGGAAAGGCGAACACAGGAGAGCTACACTGGGTGATTCATACACTGGAACTTGTACTAACAATAATATTTGAGTAGTGGAAAGCCGGACCGGCCATAGAAGAAAGCCTCAGCAGCAACAGCAAAGCAAGGGCAGTCAGTACAGCAGCAATCTTCGTGTCAATCGCCAATGGTAGCAAGAATCAGATCTACATGGCACAGGTCGAATTTTCCTGAGCACTCCAAAAAAAATGATCCCCCCAAATTATCCCATACGTCTGCAACATGGACAGTTCCTGAAAAGGTTCCAAGTTCTTGAACTTCGGGGGCGCAACCTTAGCGTGTACATAGTACTCGAGGAAAGACGATGCAGCTGGGTCCCTATGAGTCATGTACAATATCAACTAGAAAAGACTGTAGATATGGTCTGGCTACTTTTGGGAGTCTCCTACCTAGCCCTGCTGCAAGGCGCCCTGCAACAGTTGCAGCAAACAGAAACTGTTAGTTTGGTTGGCCTCGCAAGCCCTTTGCAAACACAAGTGCGCAAAGTTCTTGTAATATCAATCAGATAAAATGTTTAAATATCACCAACCACGTCAGGGTTCCTCAAAGTTGCAGGTCCAAAAGCGTGACCCAAGCCTGCAGGGTCCGAAAATGAAATGCTCTACAGGCTCTAAAGTCCATCTGTGAAAACGCTGATTCCTAAACCGTGTGGCTCTTTTTTGCGAGGACCGCTGAAAAATACCCAAACACATCTAGAGGTACAAGGCTCCAAGACTCCAGGACAAAAGACCAGTTGGTCAAAATCTAAACACTACATGCACGGATAGATTCCTTGTGAATCTGGTTGTACTTGCTCACGGCAGAAATGAGCGCATGAAGGACCTTGAGCTTCTCCGTGACTGCCTAAGGCTTGAGGGTTCGGTCAAGGGTCAGGGTTTAGCAGTTAGGGAATCAGGCTTCAAAATTAGCAGCGAATGCAGAAATGCAATGAAGCAATGGGTTCTTGCAAAAATCTCCGTGCAATCCCCCTACAATGAACCCTCCATTCCTTCTTTCCCAACTGACAAGATGGACTTATGGGCAGGGGGACCATGGAGCGGCTACCAAGAACTGAGTCCCTACTCACACCTCACAACAATCTAGGCTTCATGGAAGAAAGCCCTCAGAAAGTCAAGGTATAGAAGACCTTAATCTTCACCCGTAGCCAGATCCATGACAGCTTGCCGTTAAGATCACAAAAGCAACAAGCTATAAGGATTTCAAGAAGTAGTTCTATCCAGAGCCCTTCATCAAACTGCAATCCCCAATTACGAGAAGATGCACAAGCTAGCCAAAGAATTGCAATGCGAAACCACTGCGACGACATTTGATTTGGAACTCCTCGAGAACATGTCACAATGGATCTGCCGTCCAAAAGGATGACTGACCACCAAATCAAGCTGACTCTACTGGAAGTTGCAAAAAAATTGCAACAAGTACACCCTGAGTTGGGGGATTTGTTCTGAAAGGACGTCATTGCACCAAACCCGTGACTTGGGCATCCCTTCCGGGGCTCCTAAACCTACAACACAACAACATTGCACCTTCAATACCACGACAAAGCTTTTAAAGCAACACTAAGCAGCCCTAATCTCCTAGAGCACATCCACAACGGTATAGCTCGCATGGGGAGAGGGTTGCGCGGTGCATCCCGAAAATCGTAACTAGCTGCTAGATCCTCCGTTACAAGATGTCAAGGTTTCAAAAGTTAGAGGCCCTCTATTTTGGAAACGCCTTCAAACCGACTGCCGCAAGACACTTTCAAGACACCTGACAGGATCCATTCCCCCGAACTACTTGCTGCGGAAGATCCCAAAATGGAACCTTGATCTTCTTTTGCTTGATGCCATCCATGATCCTCCAGAGAGACATACTTTACGTTGTGAATCTCACTTCTTGCCTTCTTTGTGACTCAACTACTTGCACTTGCCCAATACGGACTGCTGCGCTTCCGAAATCTTCAACCCTGAAATCTAGACCAGTCCTCTTGTAGCTGAAAATCTCTGCTTGGAACACCACATCTGTGCAGGTTTAATAGGCTTCTGAGTCATGGTGGATAGCAGTAAGCAAATCAAAGGACTACCTCTTTCATTTAAGGCCATTGAAGAAATACTGCAGGGATCCAAACCCCTGCAGATAGAGAAAAAAGGGTGGAACTCAGAGCATGGGGCTAGGGGTTTAGGCTGCGCGGCTTGGACCCCACCAGGCAAAAGTGTGTGACAGCTCTTGGCCACATCGTGCACTTTTTTTCCCAATAATATCGTGCTGCTGTATGTACCTTTTTTTTTGTTTTTGCATCTTTGAGGCAAGCAGTCTTGCATACTTCCTGAGTGCGTTAGGTTCCCAAAAAAACCTGATGAGTTTGTCCTCTCGAGATCAACCTACCCTCTTATTAGGCAAGAATCGCCGCCTCCAATGCTGCCGGGAATCGAGGCTGAGACAAAGTCGTGCATGGACTGCGCGTGCCACTGGTCCGCGGCATAATGGGAAAACATTGCACGCCCCTCCGGAGCAACCTGCTCAATGGCAGACAACATGTATTTGCGCAGAATACTTGTCCAACCTGAATAAAAAAATATCTGGATTGGTAAGGTCAGCAAGTTTGCCCCAAGAATCCAGCTTAGTCCTAACATAACCCGACATGCTGCTCCTCTTAACATCTCCTATGTGCGGAAACAGCAAGCTGGCAGCACACAGGCTGGACGTAGAAACCCCACTAAAGCTGAACCAATCTCTCTTGCCGCCTCTGCGAATGTGTTGCTGCTGCTACAACGGCTCCATTCTCGCAGTTTGAGGGTATGCTTTGAAATTAACTTGCCCGTTTTGCTGAACATATGCGAATTGAACAGTGGGAAATTGATCATCCGACAAACTTTTAGAGCAGTTTGATATATCCTAATGCCAGTTTCGCTATTCATGTTTCTACAAGACCTAGACCCAAGCACCCTCTAGGGCTCCCACCACATACTTCAAGTCGTATTCCTGAACCAGGGCTCGGATCGTGTGGTAGCCTTGCGCTCCGAGCATTCGAGGTCAAGGCTTGTACTTCGGAGGATCACAAAGGAAGCGTCAGGCCGGACTGCACGCGTTATAAAAAATCCATCAGCAACTCTGCACCCTAAACCATATGCAGCTAAGCCAATAAGACTGTTTACTTCAAGTCCACTTCAAAATGGCCATGAACGGCTTATTCGTTTCAGATTGCTTTGGGGCTCCCACGAGCTAAGTCGGGGTCAACGGACTAGCTATCAAGCCAACAATGGCGACCCTGCTAGAAACCTTCAGTGATAAAACCTACCAAACCGCATCAGAATTCTGCACATTTATGGAATATTATGCCTTGGCTGATAGATGTTGTGGTGCTGAGGTCCATCACACACGTCATGAATATAAATTGCTGCCTGGCCACCGTTGTGCAAGAAGCAGGTTCCCATCTCGTGCGCAACCTTCTGAATCTCTTGTGGCGTGACCAAAAAGCAAAGTTCCAAGCCTGAAACTTCAACCATCTTCAGCTGAACCCAACCCAACAGTCTGCAGGACACCTGATAAGCAACATTGGGACAGCAAGCGCAATTTGCAGCAGTCAAGGTGCGCAAGAAGAAGTGTCCACTTCCCCATTTTGGTCCTGCATGGTGTACCCCCGAACCACATGCAAGCTCCATATCCAGACTGTAACCGAAGGAGATATATGTGACGTTGGGGACTTTTGCTAAACCCCAAAACATCTTGTGACTGAAAAGTTCGGCAGCAATAGCATGTATCGCATCGTCACCAAACATGTGTTACCATACCACGTGATGAAACCAAATCTTGGCGCTGCGGTGCAAAAACAACGGAAACAAAACACATAACATTCATGACCATTCACAAATCTGTATCGTGTGTGTCCTCGCTCTGAACGCATTCGCTTGTGAAGTTCCGATACAGCGTAAGAGATTTGCCTCCAACTCGGTCTGTCCGTTCAAGCACGGTAACTTTGGTGTACCCGAGCCTTGAATGTGACAGCAAATTTCACACCAAGATCTCAGGAAGGCAGGAAGGCTAGAAAGCGAATACACCCACACGATTCGATGCACTCGAATCTTGCCTAGGAAATGCGCAGCATGCCTAGCAAATGCCCAGCAACTGTGCCAACCGGCTGGCCATGTGCACACCAGCAGGCCCTCCGCCGATCACGGCAATGCGGTCCCTCGCACTGAAAGGGCGACTAACTCCACGGTGATGTCCTTGACCGCTAAGGTCTGTGCCCACATATCGAGCCGCCCAAGTTGTCCAAGCTCCGCAGAGGAGTGCATACAACCAAGCGCGATACATTTGGCAGTGAATATTGGAAAACAACAAAAAGCTTGAAGGTGGCTTGAGCTTGCTTTTTGCGGGACAACCAATCTCATGGCCTTCCCAAGATACCACATGGCTCGAGATGCTTCCATGACGTGACGAACATGCCTTCTCAGGGTTCACATATCCACCATGTGTTTCAAGTCTTGCGGACAATTAAGCCCGATTTGCCTCCGTTTCGGGGACCAACCTGTTTCGCGGTCTCTGCAACTCCCAACCCGGGGTGGGCTTGGGTGGGGGACAAAAAAAATTGAGTTTGGACTGAACTACAGCATGTGTAGACTGATGCAAATTCTCAAATTGACATGTTTGGAACTGACCTGAAAACTGAAAATATTTTTCAAAATACTTCCTACAAACAAATGTTCGTTCCTCTTTCTGTTCATAATTTATTTGTTTCTTTCTCCCTAATTCTTCCCTGCGGTGAACACCCCTCACCGCCCTCCCTGCAAGCTTGACAAGATACAATCCAGCTGCGCAAGCCCTGCTTAGGCCGTATCCTGGTTTCAATATTGTGGACTTTGGGCCTGTGGGGATTTCATTCATCCATCAAAACAAATACGTTTGTCAGACCATTTTGCGTTCAAGGAAAAGGCAAATGCATAAAGAGAAAATTTTCCAATCATCAGGAAATATATTCAATCCAGGCAAATATTATCAAAGAGTCAGTATTCACACATGCAGCCTGAAGCACAGAAAGCTCACACTCTTTTTTAACGGTCGGAGGCAACATCGACGCTTTAAGAAGGGGTTGTTCAACGGGCTCACGCAACCCGGAATGGCAAGAGCAGCCATCACGAACTGATTTCATCCCCCCCTGTGGCGCCCTGGGCAAAGTGAAACTTGACCCCATTTGTAGGGTTGGGTGGGTGGGTGAAAATTTTCTTGGTGGCGAGCCAGCCACGCTTGAGAACACATACCATGCCCAAATCAACTTATATATTCGAAAATACTTAAGGCAATATCATACAAGTCAAATGCAAGCGAAAACTCAGCATGCAAAACTCCACATGACAAGCACTCACAGCGCTCCAACGCACGCGCCAAAGAAGGAGGGAAGCAAAGCAGCGACCCTCCTCTTTTGCTTAAAAAAAGCAAATACGCTTTACGCAAGCGTCTACGCCCGGTCTGAACAAACATTTTCTACGCAAGCTCCGCGTCCCGTGTCAGACCATTTTGTGTTCAAGGAAAAGGCAAATGCATAAAGAGAAAATTTTCCAATCATCAGGAAATACATTCAATCCAGGCAAATATTATCAAAGAGTTAGTATTCACACATGCAGCCTGAGCACAGAAAGCTCACACTCTTTTTTAACGGTCGGGTCGGGGGGCAACATCGACGCTTTTTTTTGCACGGAAAGCCTCGCTAACGCATCTATTCCGATGGCCGATAAGCAGAAACGTGCAGAGCTCTCGCTGTGGCAGCAAGGCCACGAATCAGCCAGACGTGATCCGAATGGATGTGCCAAGTCTAGATAGAAAAGGTCACAGGCACGTGAGGCACGTATCATGGTCCATTAATATGAGATTGACAGTGGGAAGCCGGTAGTGATGCTCGACGAGCCAATTAGATGATGCTCGCCTCCTGCAGTCAAAATAGCTGCCTAAAATGAGGACGCGCTATGGTGCCACGACCCACCAAGGCATAGCCATTATCTCTTAAGAAATGCAGCTCGCTGGGAATGGACTTGAGCACACGCTCATGTGAGTCATACTCTTCTGCCTGCAGCTTGTTCAGATCATTTTTACAATTCTTCTTCCAGCCGTTAGCATACGTTCGGACAACTACACTGAAGTCCGGCCTGCTCCAGCGTTTGACTGCTTATACACAATAAAGAGTCGACGCTGCAAGGTGATGCGGTGCGTCATGCGGCCCTGATACATGTTTCACCCTCAAGTCTGTGTTGCTAGGTGTCCATCCTTGGTAATTTGCCAGTGCGCGATTGTGACGCTAGTGCGAAGTGGCGGATTGCGGAGAAGGATTTTTTAAACTATGCCGCTCTTGCTGCTTCTAGCGCCAGTGCTGTACGCTGAGAGCTTGGCCATGGATCCCTCCGCTGACTACCTACATGCACATGGCTGTGGCAGATGCCAGCAAATGAGTGGGCAAGAGGCTACTTGTTACTTTGTAAGGCAGCGTGGAATCATGGCCCGGGTTGAAACGCTATACGTCATCACAGACGCGGCCTCTTGAGCGAATTGAGCAGATCCGTACTCTGCGCCCGTGCAATGGGAACTGCTGCCATCATCGACACTAGGGTTCGCCTCACCTTTGCGGGCAGTTTATCCAGCTACCTTGGGGGTTGTCAGAAGGATAGTCCTAACACGCAAGAAGAAGGTGGCTGGCGCGCAGAAGAAATGGACTCCAAAGTCATTGACTCTCTTGTAGGAGAGTCCTCTGACGGGCGTGTAATGCGGCGAACCAAAGATTTTTGTTTGCTCGGAAGGCTTCGCTGGCGCAGCTAGTCCGATGAAGCGTAAAAAGCAGAACAGAGCCTCTCGACCCCCGTCATTAATTACGCCAAGCTCAGCGTCCGCAATGAACTAGCCGAGGATGGCACAAGCAATTTACATAGACAGTAGACAAGACGAGAAGGAGGACGCTAACCAAAAACCAAGACCGCCAGAAAACAAAGAAAGTCCTCCTCTTTGTGAATCATCAGCAAGTGAAGCGTACAGACTCTCGTTAGCATAAACTACGCACATCGCGAAAGGGTAACTGTACAATCCTATACGCTGGAATCGCTGGAACTGCACCTATGCCTTCAGAAAAAGGACTCAGGTCAAAACCAGCATCTCCACTTCCCGGAAGTGCAAGCTACTGTAAAAGCCTTACTGACGCCGAGCAACATCAGTCAGCACACATTGAAATGCAGACAGAAGGGCGTCGTATCCTGCGAATTTCCCTATAAGATAACAAGAGCAGCAGAGGCGCCAGTGGTCAACTTTCTGACACGTTGCACAGCCCTAAATTCTTCATTCCTGTCCTCTTGCGGAACTCCCTTCTCCTTTTGCGTCCAGCGCACCTGCTCCGCCCTTCATGAGGGAGTTTCCAGCCTCTAGCCAGTTTTAAGGACATTTCCCGCATATTTGTACCGAAATTTGCGCTTAAGCGGCGGGCAAGCGGAGGCAGTACGGTGCGCAAAATTAAAATGAGAACTGGCCCTCCGGAGGTGAAGTGGAGCGACTCCAGACCAGACCTTCCTGTATGCGGAAAAACAGGGCATATGTGCAATCGTGTCCAGAGGTCTTGTGTCAGTGAGGATATGCATAGATATTGGGCCGATTCCCTAATAAGTAATGGGACCACGAGGGACTATTGTACGCATATTTAGGCTCTAATAACTCCATTCCATATTTAAGGGCAGAGTGGTGACCGGCTGTTGCTGCAGCCTCATCAAATCTGGGAGCAGTGTTCGGAGCACCTGTGCCATGCAGTAGGCAGGGTATGTTCGACCTGACAGGCACGACAGACATCGCGGTTGGCTGGTGCTGCTGCCCTTCCCTAGGTGTGGCCCAGGGAAGTGCATTCGGCATTTGCGGGCTTCTGCCTGGCTGGGCTTTAGTGCTACAGCGGGCAGCCAAGCATTCGTGGCCTGCTGTCCCGTCGCACCCTGGTGCGACTGTCCCCGTGGTCCAGTTCGCCTGAAGGAAGTCCAAGGGGGCGGGGTACTCTGCGCTTGCTCCGCTCACATCTCCACACTGAACTAACGGGCCCAACATTTGCCTGCACCGCCTCTCTAGACGCTGGGTGTGATGCCCTGAGTAACTACCTGACTACTGTGCACTGGCCGCCAGGGTCACTGCCCCACACTGAGTCAGTTCCTGGTTGCCCAGTGGCTGAGATGTTCTGCAGCCATACATCATCCCACACGTCCTATGACAGCTTGCAAATTCCTATTAAGCTCAATGTCTTGTTGGAATTTGCTTGAGTTTGGAAAAAGCCTGGCCAAGTAAGTGTGGACTGTCTATACAAGCTCTGAGAGTAACTAAAGAGTCATTAAAACTTCGAGAAAGTCCCTCTAGTTGGTGATCTACATTCCAGATATTCTCAAAGTCTTCGCCTTCTAGCCCTAAATAATTCACCGTTTGTGGCATTGACCCGCGGGGTCTTACCGCAAACTAATCTTTTAGAGTCTGCTTGGAAGACGGTCCGGGTTGGTATGTGCGCATGCCGCACAATTAGCCACGTTACAGAGGTATGAAGGGACGGTGCTCGGGAAGGTGTCCCTGCCTCCTGAATCATTATGCCCTGCGCGGTTCTGTCGAACATGCGCCGAGGTTGGCGGTGGCGGCTGCAGTCCTGTTGCTCCT